AATTCCTCTCAGCTCTGAACTTTATCAAATCAGATCTATGGCCCTCCAACAAAGAAGATCTTATCGAAGCTATACTGTTTCTTAGAAATAACTAATGCCAGTTTTTTCATTTAATAATAAATGCTAATTAATATAATTTGCTATATCATCAATGTTCTTTTCTGTAGCATCTATTACTTCTTATACAGTCAAAAGTCGTTAATCCGGACTCGTCGGGACTTTGGCGATACTGAATTATCGATTTTTCCGGATTATAGATCATCCGTTTAAATCTGGTAAGATGGCATGCAGAAATTATAAAATTAAAAATATGAAACCATAATTTATGAAATAAAGAACAATTATGATCTAAAGGGTATCAAAATTTACAAAAAAAAAAAAAAAAAAAAAAAAAAAAGCTTAACATTTATTTGTTTACTTTATTAGACATTTCTTTCAATGTAAGTTGTTTAAGTTGCTTCATTTCATGTGATAATACTTTCTCTTTATTTTCTATAAACAGACATAATTTCTTGTTCAGTGACAAAGTTCCGCTGTTCAAGTCCTTATAATTGCTGTGTCGAGAATACCGACTAATTTGTCAATCAAAATTTTTTCATTTTCAATAACCTCTGTGTTACTTTCTTCACTATTGGAAGCAAATTATAATGACGAGGAATTTGATTTAAATCATATCAAAGACGGAGTACATTGAGATGAAATACTACATTTAGTAACAAATTATAAGCCAAATAAAATAAAAACATCTGCTCTGAAGATCAGGATAGTGCTGACAGATCAACTTCCAATTCATTGCGCGCCGCGGCGTCCCCCCCCCACCACGGAGCAGCGTGAAATTGATAAACAGATTTTGGAATGGTTAGAGAAATAAAGGATATGCCTTTATCCATTTTTTGCAGCAATTCCACGTTTTGTTTGATGGATATCGAAATATACTTTCACTTTGTAGATCATTTGGCAGCTCCAGCATCGGAAATTCTATTTGACATAATCGATAGTTCAAGCTTACTTTTATAAAATTGCTCTAACAATCTGCAAAGAAAATAATAAGCCGGATCCATATCAAAGATTAAGGAACAGCGCAATCTGTAACATTAACTGAAATAGATAATTAGATAATTTTAGCTTATACCGTCCGTTATACATTAAACACGCATGCATAAATGTATTATGTGCATGCGCACACTCATAAGTGCAGCCGTAAAGGTCTTATGTGCATGCGTAAATGCCTATGCGCCTGCGTCACGCGACGCACGCACAGAAAGTTTGTAGCTTTGAGGTCCAGATTATAGATCATTCCGGATTATGGGTGTCCAAATTAACGACTTTTGACTGTATATTAAAAAAAGCCTTAACCCATATGTATATGTTTACACATATGAGGGAGTCGGACATTTTCCCTACCGACTCCACAGCCCTGTTTTGAACTCCGATAATTTTCTCTTAAGATATTCTTCAGATTTGTGCCTTTAAATTAGTCTGCTTATATACAAGATATCATTTAAGATATGATGGTTTCATACTCTGATTGGATAATATTTCACCGCAAACAACACTTTGAGGTTGAGGGTGCATTTCTTCTCCATTCTAAGTAAACTCAAATGATAATATTTTCTATAAAAATTTTTTCTTTCCTTTTCAATTTTGTTAGTGGTAGCATATTGTCCTGGATCTATCACCTGTGAGTTATCCCTTTTTTGCTTAGTCAATCCTAGCTATTTTTCCATTTTGAAAATCTAGGTTTGTTTTATTATATTTTCACAAGTATTTAAACATACAATATATTATATTACGGGTTCTTCAAACACAAATGATGATATTCTCAAATCGCATAGAAAATTGAACGACTACAAAGCTACAAGAAGGCAAAATAACTGCTGTTAAAGACAGCAAATAGACGTAAAAAATTATTCTAATTGAAAATAGAGCAATATGAGCCTGGCAATGGTGGCAACATAGAGTGTAGACATGTTAATAGATTTATCAACTCTAAAAGAATTAATGAGTTATTATTATCTTTTTATATTTCTGATTTTTATTTCCTATTAAATACAACATCCATTTCTATTACTCCTTTTAAAAAAATCATTTATGTGAAAATTTTGTTATGTTAGGAAAAAGAATATTTTAGAAAATAAAAACAGATTATTTTGCTTAAGTCTATGAGAGGCTATTAACCATGAACAAAGCTCAGATCGCCTAAATTTAAGAGTATTAGAGAAGAAATTTAACCCTTTGACGGTTATGGAAATGAGCAGTTTCCGTTTACTTAATTCGAGCAGCATTAGGAGTAAACAGTAGTCGAAAGTGGCAGCTGTTTTCCCCCGCCATTCTTCCGAAAATGTCACCTTTCTCTGGCGATGCCGTAGATAGCTCGCCTCGCGGGTTTTAAAAATTTCTTAAAGTATTTGTAGTACATAAATAACAGTTTTTACGTACTTTAAAATAATTATTAAACAGTAAATTATAAATGATTATAACCAATTATATAAATAATAATAGTTAATTATAAATATAAGACAAATATTAAATTGAAAGGAACTAAATAAATACAACTAATGTAAAACTTTATGAAGCAGCAAGTATAAATACAGTAATTACCTAAAAATCTTTTTGTGTGTGATATATAGTTTAAAACATGGAATTGCACATAATGGGGCATTACAGTTCTTTGCAATAATGTACGTGTTTCACGGGTGAATTCTTTTTCCATTAGCATCATTTTTGCTGCAACATACCACACATCGTCTAGTAGGTTCTTTTTTTTTTTTTTTTTCTGTAGGTGGAATATAATCAGGAAAGTGGCGTGCTGACAATCTTAAAGTATTCGAAACTGTTTCAGCAGGTTTTAATTTCAAATGTCTATGAGTGTGATATTTCTCAACAATTCTTTCAGCTAGTTCAATTCTGAATTCCAAATTTGATTTTTTATTCCCTTTTTTTTTTCCACAGCTGAAAAGCATTAAAAATTGTTATGTCCAATAAATAACGAAATATTTTCTTATAATATTTCCTTGTGTCGAGATCGGGTTACATCATAGTATTCTTTGCTCTTAAATTTATTTAAATTTTCAGCAGCAAAAATGTTGGTTTCCGTAACAATATGATTTATAATCTCATCAGTAAAAAACAGCTCAAAATACTCTAGTGGATCAGAAATATTTGTCACGCAAGCTTTCATGCCTACATCACCAGTAAAACTAAATCGGCTAGGAGCGTGAGAACTTGAATCAATTATACACCACTGTCGAACACTCGAAAAATCTTCCTCATCGCTTGAATCGTCTTCTGAGCTTGAAATACTGTGAACAAAGTCTTCATCAGATTCAAAACTTGATAAGCTTTCTGTATCATAATCATAATCATCATCATAACTATCTAACTTTCGCTTTTGAGCCATTTTACTGTACAAACACCCTAAAAACCGCGCCAAAATATGTATAAAATGAACAAGGTCAAAACAAAAACAAAAAAAAAAAAAAATTCCACCTTCATTATGCAAAGAAATTCATGGAACTCATACTGCCATCTGTAGACAGTAAAACTAACTAAATTCATTTAATAATTCGTTTGAAACACAATCAGTGCAGAATAATAATGGCGAACGAAGTCAGCGCGTCGGCGCGCTTTGGGGAAAAATTTCACTATGCGAGTAGTGCTCGTTACTAACTATTTCGGTCAAAATCTTGCTCCCGAGCGGAACTCGTTTGCGCGCATTATGAAGCACGATTCGATTGCGAGCTGAACTCGTTCATAACCATCAAAGGGTTAAACAGAATGTTTAGGTATCTATGTTTTGAATTTAATGGTTAAAAGTACTTTGTTTCTTTGCATACCACCTATTTTTCTCTTGTGTACCACTGCTTGAGAATCGCTGTTCTATTGTATTCTAAAATATATTTTGAGTTTGTGTCATTAAGACATGAAAACAATTTCTCTGATCTTCAGTTCAAATTTAAACACATTGTTAAGCCTCATCTTTTCTTTTCTTTCTTTCTTTCTTTCTTTTCTTTTTTTTTTTTTTTACACATCAGTGGTGAAAAGGAATAGATTCTTGAATACAGTATTAATACACTTTCTAGATATGAAAAAGAAAAACACAGTAAAAGATAAGAGAATTTTTTTTTTCATAAATTCAGAATTTTAGTTCTTGCATTTTCTCTTAATTGGTGGATAGCGATGCATGTAGAGAACAAAATGACAGCAGTGAACTGATTTAAAAATCAAAGATCTTATTGCTGAGGTGTTTGTAAACATTGTGTTTACTTTTGCTGTCATTTACAAATACATGAATGATTTTAAAATTAATTTTCCTATTAAATACTTTTCTAACACATAAAATATTTCAATGCATTTTTTACAAACATGCCTTTGAAAAATTTCCCTAATCATTAATCCATTTTCTTTCCACTATTATTTTCCCTTTCACTGACATTATTTCATTTGGGAGTAAACAGTGTATCTCAACTGTGCAAGCTGACTGGGGGGGGGAAGAACTTTAACATTTTTTTTTTTTTTAAAATCCTTCTCTATTATTTCATTCATCGATTACTTTAAAAAATATCAAGTAAACAAACTCGTAAGATAACTGCCAATAATTTTAAAAAATAAAACATAACCTACATTAAAAAATAATACTTTTGTATTAAATAATTCTTAACATGTATGTTTTCATAGTTATTAATACATACACAATGCAAATTAAGGTGTAAAAATTTTTAAAAAGTAAACAAAAAATGAAGAAAGACATGATCTCTAATTGAAACAATCTCTGTAAGCATTTCACTATTTTACAATGGAAAAACGAGATAACCAAATTAAAATGAATACCTTTATCTAAAAATGGATTAATGATTAGGGAATTTCATCACAGCATGTATATTAAATATGACAAGCAAATTATTATTTCCTAATAAATCTTTACATGTTCTAAACCAACATGTATAACTACTTTTATATTTATTTACAAATTCATTATAGAAGAATTACAGTTTCCATACTTTTACATCTTCATCCAATTTCATTATCTTCTTTATACGAGCCAAAGGTAATTCTTGATTTTTAAAATCATTCTGAAGAGAGAAAAAAAAAATCAACAACAATTACATACAGAAACATAAAGTGGTAATTAATAAGTCTCCAATTTTTCACACTGAGAAAATACATTAAGGTGATAATATATATTAGATAATTCAGAATTACTAACCCTCAAATAACAAAAGCAAAACTTACTGCACCCAGATTTCTAATTTCTTCCATCTCTCTATCCCAAAATACATCCAAAACTTGTTGAGCTTCGTTAGTATTACCATGGGAAGTATTACTTGACTGGCTGAAAGTTTCTGGTTGTGACATGATTTAATTAAAAAATTTTAATTCTTTGAATCTAGAAAAAAGTATTAATATTCAGTTTAAATTGACTTATACAATAAGATTTGCAAAAAGCGTATATACAGAAGCTGTTCACACATTTTTTAGACGATGTATATTGTATTCACAAAACTAAATTACATAAAATTCTTGTGTTTTAAATGTTCTATTTGACATCCCTTATTCTGAACTATCTTTTGAGACTGCAATTTCCAGGATAATAATGCCTTTTGAAGTGGCAGAAGAGGTTTTCTATCCCATTCCTCCCGAACAACTTTCCAGTGTCCTGTTAGGGTTTTGGGACAACGTTTGGATAATGCAGTTTTTAAAAGTCCGAAAGCGCAAAAATCCATAGGTGACACATCGGGAGATTTAGTAGGGATATCAGTGAAGGGTATGGCCTTGATACCAGATTTTTGTTCCATTTCTTTCAGGAAATTTACAGTGGATTTTGATGTGTGACTCCTAGCTTTGTCCCGATGGAGTCTCACAGATTGATGGCACTGTGGGTAAAGCAATGGTATTTCATTCAGAAAAATTGGCGATAAAATATGTTCCTGATAGTATTTGGAGTTAATCTTGACATGTTTTTGCATTCTCTTTATTTTTAACTTGCCATTATAAGAAAAACTAGCAACAATCATGAATCCCTTAGAAAAACTTTCTTTCGATTCTTTGAACCATGTACTTAAATTTTTTTCTCCCCTTTTATGATAATAAATGGCTCTTTTTTTTGTTACAATTATTTAAATACACCCATGCTTCATCTATGGTGACAATTGTTTTCCATTTTTCTTTGGATAAGTGTTTCTGATATAGAATTCTGCAGCGTGTCCTGCATTGAGCGATATGCTTTGGAAGAAGACGATGCACATTGCGTTTCTTTTTTTTTTCGCTTTCTTAAGATTTAAATCAACGTTTATCATTTTTTTTTTACAGTGGGACACCCGAGCATTTTAATGATTTTGCAACTGTCCTTTGACTAGGGGGATTTTCTTTTAACATTAAACAAACGTACCTTTGCAATAGTCAAAGATGTCCGTTTTTTTCCTTGGATACTTGTTTGGAATTTTTTTCCCACTTGAAGTTCCAATTTGACGTTTTTTTTTTCTTTTCTTGTTGATGATATTACCTATCGACGCTTTAGATATCACAAAACCATGACTCTCACATCGTTTTTGGATAATGGAGTATGCATATTTCTCTTCGGAAAGAGTGTAAATGTAGCCTTCGAACCACTGCTTTGTTAAATTCGCCATTTTGAATAAAAACAAAACTTTCAAAGCACAGACGATAATTTTGACTTTTAAAAACATAGTACAATTGCAATTACTTCTTTTGCAGTAAACAATTTTTTATTACTGCTTACCAAAATCGTCTAAAAATGTGTGAACAGCCTCTGTACATATATAAATTTATTCAACATAAAAACAATTTTAAATTCATATATATTTTCTACAAATATTAATGTTATAATAAAAAACAATCCTTATAATAATATTTTAATATAAAACAGTGCTTAAGCATATCATATATATTAACTTATGGCAGTAAAAACAATTATTTAATGTCAAAATTTCTACTGGACATCAATAACTGATATGCAGCAAGCCAGATTTTACGAGAATACGAGTTGAGCTACATAAAATTCCAAATAAAAATTTAAATAAATATTAACTAATCTTTTTTTGCTATAAATCAAATATATTTATGCTAGTTAAATTTGAGAATAATATGGTACAACAGTAAATTCTTGTAAAATGTTGGACAAGTTATAACCAAAGGAAAACAAATTATTACTTAGAAAAAAAGCGGTATGATATTCTTTAAATCTCCTATGGGAATGTTCCTATTTTACTAATGTTAAAATGTGATTTTAGCATGCCAACCTAGATTTAAGACTAACATTTTATTTTAACTTCTTTCTAACCACACATGAATTTTATTCCTTAAATATACATCCATTTTTTATTATTAATGCATACAGTTTTGACATAATACTCAAAAGTTTACGATAAACATATAGTGGAATTAGATGACAGCTGCATTAAATTAGAGCTATTAACAATACTTTAGTACTTGGAGATACATATCATATATATTAGCTTATGGCAGTAAAAACAATTATTTAATGCCAAATTTCTAGTGTACATTTTTTTTCTGTTATTCAACATCTTTCATATAAATTGAAACTGGTTACTCTATTGCAAATGCTTTACTTGATTCAGAAGAAAACTTGAAAGATGCAAATATTGTTGGACGGAGAGTTACACCCATGTCTTCTCGGGGATTCAAACCCCGGCCAACAGATACGGCAGTCAGCGTCACTAACCACTGTGCATTTATATAGTATGACTGCTTGGTAAATGTACTAACTGTAATGAAAAAATAGTTGCAGCAATTGAAACATGTGCAATTATATGGTATAATTGATTGATATATAATAGGTAGTGAATAACTTTTGTATTTCATGTCTATTACAATTGGGATTTAGTTCTTGTTTTTCTGTAGATCAGGAATGTCAAACTCATAGGTACACTTGGGCCAAACAAACAAGGTTTAACTTTAGGGCGGGCCGCAAAAAAAAAAAAAAAAAAAAAAAAAAAAAAAAAAATCAATATTCATAGAAACGTAGATTTATTTCGAATAATACAATAATAAACATATATATATATTTATACAGAAAAGAACAAGAAAAATTTAATGTTTACGTCCTGATACTTGACATCTCTTCTCTGCTATTATCTTTCCTATTTCGGGAGAAATTTTGTTTGCAGTGATAACTTTCAACGCTGACCCAAGGTGAGCATCATTAATACGGTTTCTAATAGGAGACTTATTACCTTTCATGACTGAAAATAACTGCTCGCACCGATAAGTGCTACCAAACATGGAAATAATTTCATATGCGAATTTTCGAGTATTTTCAAACCTGGCTGGTAAATATTTGTAAAATTCAGGCACGCCCACTTCAATGAATTTTGCTTTCAAATTTGAGGTGATCAAATTTGATCGAATCAATTGAATCTCAATCACCTCCATTTGCATATGGCTGGGTACTGAGTCAATACTTATTGAGAAAATCGAAGAAAACAAAAAAAAATTGTCTTCGAGGGAACTAAAATCATTAAACCTCGTTTCAAATTCAGTTGTTAAATTTGCAATTTTTTCTGCGTATTTTTGATACGAACAAGTATCATCTAAACTTGATTTGTTCATGCTGCACGTCGGGAAGTGCGTCAAATCTTCATTTTTAAGTTGTTTTTCCCAAAGAACTAGTTGACATTTGAATGCTTTAATTATGTCAAACATGTTCGTAATGATATGATCTTTTTCCTTGTAACGATAAATTTAAATCGGTTAAGTGTTTGGTTATATCAACCAAGAAAGATAAATCTTGTATCCATATTGGATCGTAAAACAAACTTACGTCTTGATTTTTCGTTTTTAAAAACTGACATATTTCTTCTTTCAAATCCCAGAATTGTTTGAGAATCTTGGAGCAAGATAACCAACGTACCTCGGTATAGTAGGACAAACCCGAATATTCACTATCTAACTCACTTAAGAAAGCAGTGAATTGACGCTGATTTAAACCTCGAGATCTTATAAAATTTATAACTTTTTTTATATATGACAAAACATTCTCCATATTTATTACTTTCGTGCATAGAACTTCTTGATGTATAATACAATGCATATGATGAATGTTTGAACCGTGAATTTCACTAAGTTTTTTTCTTAGTAATGCCACGAAGCCCTTGTTTTTCCCGGTAATTGATGGAGCGCCATCTGTAGCTACAGAATTTAATTTTGCCAAAGGTAGATTGTATTTCTGCAGAAGTCCCGAAACAGAAATAAATATATCTTCTCCTGTGGTAGTACCAGCCCCCCCGGCGGTCGACGTAGAGAACTCTGCGAAGCTACTGGCTAGGATCTGTACCTAGGCAGTCTCGGCCACGGGGGATAAAATTTATGAACATGGTGGTTTTGAAGCCCCTGGGAAAGGTCACTTATTGGCCGGCCTCGGGGACTGGCATGTCCTGAGCGGTGTGGAACCATAGCCGAAGGGCTAGTTCCCCTCGGTTTGCTGGGTAACAGCCCACTGCGACGGGCTTGCCCATGCAACTGGTAGGAGCATCTAGACGACCGGTGCTGCCTGGTGTCGTATCCAGGTGGTGCGCTGCTCCCTTGGAGGGTAATAGTGGAGGTTGAACCTCCATGATGTGCCCAAAGGGGGAGTGGACCTGTAATGTGATTGAGTTACACGAGGCAGTGAAGCCCAAATTGTTGTGGTAGTACCAGGCATCGGTATTAGTTCCGGTAATTCCTCAAAAATGTTAAAATTCTTGTCACAAGAATGAAGAAACACTGTTAATTGAGCTTTGCCACTAATGTCCGTGCTCTCGTCACAGGCAATAGAGAAACTTTTGAAACTAGATGATTTTGCTTTGATCTGATCACTTAAATTCGCGGCTAAATCAGTAACTCTTTCCGCAACTGTATTTCGAGACAATGAAATTGATTGAAAAGCCTTCACATTTCCAGGACAAACAATTTCTCCAGCTTTCATTAGGCATTCCTTGATGAAATCACCGTCAGTAAAAGGCTTCGAATGTTTAGCTATCAACTCGGACAAGACGTAGCTTGCATGTACCGCCGCTTCACTTTCTTGCAATACTTTACTAAACATGGACTGTTGCTTTTTCACTCCTAACTTGAGCTCTTTCAACTTTTCTTCTCTCATTAATCCTTCGTAATTGTTATATTTCGATTTGTGTTGTTCGTAATGACGTTTAATATTATATAACTTTGGTACATTAATAGTATTATTACATATCAAGCAGATTATTTTATCTTTTATTTCACAGCAAAAATATTCTAATTCCCATTTTACTTGGAATATTCTATGTTCGTCAGCGATTTTTCGTTTAATTTTACTACCACTTGGTTTTGATATAGACATACTGAATACAAAGGGCTGGAATAAACACGGTTAACGTTAAAAAGTTAACA